TTTCCCTAAAGTGGTGTTATGCATTAGGCATGGATGAAAAGACAAACACGTACATGTATATTCAATAATAATGTCGGCTAGGTCAGAGACGAATAGGAAATGAAATGAATTCATAACACCTCCAGAGATAGCTCTCTGATACAGGCAGTTTTCTTTTTGATTTACCCTCATTGACTGTGTTCATTGTAACTTTAATACATCTACCAAATTGTCCTTTATTAACTGTTGCCCTGATATTACTAACAAATTCAAGCCGCAATCTCCAGTCATGTGTTCTCGAGATTAACAGCTGCACGGCACAGTGCTGTATAGATCATATGCATATTTACAGGGATCTCACATTCAAGAGGACCTAATTTCATGTCCAAACCATACAAACGGTGCTTGAAAGTGCTGCAGACACAGAGCTCTTCTGTGTCAGGGCTTTGAGGGTACAGTGCATTACTTCTCTAGGCATGATGATAGTGAAACAATTACCTTGGATTAAGGTGGCTGGCAATCCTGAAAAGTCCTTATTGGGCTTTGAGTGTGATCAGATGCCACCTGCTTATAAATGAGAGTTAATAGAAACATTAAATGTGCAAGCCACCATGACCCGTATCTCCAGAATATTAAGCACGTTTAAAAATAGCTGAAGACCATCTAAGTCCTTTGCTTTCTGGAAAAATATTACCCTTTCTAACCAATATCCTCCAGGAGCAGGTTATCTGAACTCTTGAACGTTCCACTTTCATGTGTGCCTACTGTATATTTTTGAATTTATTCCCTCACTTCTCCCTCTACTGTATATTTATTGTGGGTGCGTTATTCGGTTTCTCTTTAATTATTCCATCTGCCACTTAAGGGTGCTGCGTTTTTCAGGCTGTGTAGTTTAGTTGCTTAACCTTTGAGTGGGGTAACTGAATGCGGTGACGTATTCCTCATTTAGCACAACAGCCTGAAAAGAATTATGTACTCCAAGTGATAAACTTGGAACTGCTAAAGAAGGACCAAAATCCAATTTTTTTCCTCTCTCCAGTCTTCTAAACATCTAATAGTCTCATGAAAGAAACTCATAAATCCTGAAAATTTAGTTTATCTGTAACCAGCTCCAACAGTTGTCCTTCCTACTAATCATATTTTATATCTATTTTATACTTTTCAATATTCAATAAACATGCCTTCTGCTTACTGCACTTGTTATAAAGTGTATGCTGTAGACACTTTCTAAAAACCATTATTAATCGACCACTTTATACGATGGCTTGGGTAGTGTTGTAGAGGAACTCATTTATCTTTTTACGCTTGCTTCTTTGTTCTTTCCATTTGTCTAATATGGAGTTTCCTTTTTTCTTTTGGTTCATTTCTATCACAATATGTCAAGAAGGGATTTAATATGTAACAAAATGGGGGAAAAAAAACCGTGCAATGGCTAGAAAGAAAAAAACCCTTCAGGCTTAATTCATGAAAAGATCACTTGCATTATTTCTTCTTACTGTGCTTTTTTTTTTTTTTTAATAATATGGACTGCATTATCTAGAAGTGCTTCTTTAAAGAGACAGATATTTTACATATTAAAGTGAGATGTCAGTATAAGGAGGAGTTTAGGCCTGAATTAAAGTTAAAAATGATGTGGCCTCATATGAGGCTGGGCTGACTTTGTCTGCAAAGTATATAATGAACCTTGCTGATAACAGTTTAGGCTTTGGATAGATTAAGGTGCAGCGATAGGTTGTGAATGGCACAGCAAGTAATGCCACAGAGAAACAAATGAATGTGTCTGCTAGAGATAAACAACATAAAAAGTTCCCGTTCATCACCAAAACCCAGACCTCTAAAGATTAATATTTACTGGAGATTTCTTAGTTTTAGAAGACTCAGTATCCATACCTTGGTCTTAGTTTTTATGGGTTCACATTTTACAGGGAAGCATCTGCCATTTATCAAGAGGTTAATGACTAGTAGTTTCATGTCCAGATACTTTGTAACCACTGAGCTGCCCGACAACAGAGGTCACTAGAAGACTGATGACTTACAAACCCGTTAAAGTTCTCCTTGCTCTTTCCCGTTTTCAGAGCACCAGCAGGGTTGGACCTGGCTGATATTTGACCACTGGGAATACTGTCCCCACTTTAGAATTCCTTAATACCAGTAGACTATCATGATTTACTGGTCAGCTGCCAACAAAAAAAATACCATCCTCACAGAACACGCATTGATTGTTACAGTTATTTAAAGACTACCAGTAAAAATTCATAGACTCCAGTCTCCGTCAGAACAAAAAGGAATCAGTAATTGCAATTTGGGAGTCTCCGACGACGACTAAAAGAGAGAAAGGAAGCTTGTCAGTTTTAGTGGATGCCACAACAGCGCTCGTATATACAGGGTGTGTCTACACATGCATTTAAGCATGCCTACATTTAATGTGCATTAGTTTAATGCTCAATACGTGACTTTAGGCAAGTGTCTACATGTGCAGGCGCAGTAACACTGTCTGTGGACTGACATGGGACTGAAGTTAGTCCAAGTCAGTCCACACACACAGTGTTAATGCGCTTTAACGTGTCTACACGTGCATTAGTGCACTTTAACTATTCGTGCCTAAATTGGATCAGTTGTTGGGCATGATTAACCCAAAAACATCATTTTTAAAGCACATTAAGGGCACGCATTCATCAATGCGTGCCCTAAGGCACCTTAAATATAGGCTAATGTACCTTAAAGAATCTCATGTAGATGCACCCACAGATTCCTTATTTCATCATCTAGTGGTAAACGGATTTGGCCTTGAGAAGGGATTGGGTAAAGGTAAAAATGGTCCTAAAAGAAGCAGCTCACTGTGATCCAATCACAAGTGTGGATATATGGAATCTGGTTAGGAGCCTTTGTCTGTTCATGTTTCTGTGGTCATTTATATTGTAGGAGAATGAAGAATCTGGAGGATTGGAGAACCAAGTAAAAAGGGCTAGGGGTTGGATTCAGCCTTTAATTTATAAAATGATGTAATTTATAAATTAAATGTAATGTTTGGTCATCTCTGTCTCTCTTTTAGAATGCTTGAAGATGATCTGAAACTCAGCAGTGACGAAGATGATAATGAACAGGTAAAATATCGGATGTGCATATGGCATACATTTTGGGAAATGCATTTTCATCTATTGAATGTGAATGTATATTGCTTTATTATATTCCTATCAAATCAGTTTCTGTGCGGGTTCCTACATCTGTTATCATAGGCTTTGTCTACACATATAGCTATATAGTTAGTCTCTTACATCGGTACTTTCTCACTGCACAGAGCAATGCCTTCTTCTGAACTCGGAGAGCCTTGTTCCAGTTTTGTTTAATCCACTGTAAAAGTCGATTAAGTGTTTCCCTTTAAATCCCCACCTTACTGTAATCCAAATTCACTTCAAAGTGTAAAAAAAGCTCTTAGATTTAGGTTTATTTCACCAGTTAATGGTTCTGACCCCGCTCCTTGCACTCAGCTTTCACACTATTTACTATTTCCTGGGACTGTCTTCTACTTGCTTTGCACTGTCAATGCAAAGGGGTCAAGAAGGGTGAAAGCAGTGAGAAATCAGGTCCCTAACTTCCGTTCCAGTCAGTATGCAATGGGCTTGGAATCTGTGTCACCAACCCAAACTGAAAAACCAGTGATATATACCCATTTGTGAGAGGTAAAGCTTCAGGACTGAGCTGTGAATCAATAGCAGACATCTCTGAGTCGATGTAGGACATTAATGAAAAATCATTTGCAGAAAAGTTGCTGATGCCATTGTCCTTCCTTCTATTTTGCATTATAAATATTTACAGTCATTGCTGAGAAATCAAATAGCTAGAATTCATTTGTTCTACACTTTCATTAAGAAAGACTCAGGGTCTATGTTGAAATTTTTCCCTGGTGTAACTTCGTGGAAGACAGCAGAAAAATTTGCCTCCGTATCTTTTAAAGCAAAACAGCAAAACAGAGTAGCAATGCTAATACCATCCAGTTTTCATGTTTCTGTAATAGTCATGATGTGTAATGGGAAGCCTTGTGCACATTCTTATTTTCTTCCTCAAAAGGGCATTATTCCAATACTCAGATCATCACTAGGACTATGAAAAAAAGAATGATATTGATGTCCATAAGGATGTCTCCTTAGTTACAGCCTGACAAATGTTAGCTGGATGTTCTCATTTATTTGTCAAATCACCTGAATTCTCCCCTCTATCCTGCTTCTCCTTCTCTATGGATATGCCATGAAATATTTACATTCTAATGTCAGTTGACTCCTGGATCATAAAAGTCATCATTGCTTAACGCAGTATCCAGGTGCCATGCACTCAGATCACAAGTCAAAAGATTGAACGCCTACATTTCTGCAATGCAGAGTTCTGTAACTTTGTGTAGCATGTCTGAATAACCAGTTTACTGTTTTATTGGAAATGTCAGTTGAGGAAAATTGGCCAAAGAATAACTTAAAATGTAACAGTGAGAATGAGAGGCCCAATATGATCTCTTTGCAAATAACATTACCAGATCAAAAACACAGTATTGACCAGCGGCCTGGCACTTGGGGTCTGGTTCATTTTTCACACTGGTTTTATCTGTTTTTTATTACATTCAGCAGAATTACTTATATTGGTATAAGTGAGTACACAGTCAGGCGCAGTGGGCACATCTACACATACATTTACTCCAGCCTAGATTTACTGTGCAATAAAATACTCTGGAGTAAGGGTTTTTGGGTAGGTGTCTACCCATCCAGGGATTAGGGAACAAATGTTCTCCCAGTTCCCTGCAGCCCTGCAATGGGCCCCTGAGGGCACTGGGGGAAGCTCCAGGCTCCCCATGGGTGCTGGTCCAGGGGCTGGCAGGGAGCATGGAGACAGCAGACAGCTGTCTTCTTGCCCCAGGGGCTGCCTGCTGCTGGGGCAAGGAAAAGGTCCCCATGCCCCAGCAGTAGGAAGCTCCTGGCCTTGGCTCCCCAATCAGGGGTATGGGGCTTGGAAAGAACTGCAGGGGAGAGGTAGGTCCCAGCTCCCTGCCCCAATCTGCCAGTGGGGCAGCTAGCAGCTAGCTCACTGCTTGCTTCCCCACAGGCTGATTGCGGTGGGGGCTTGGACCTACCTCACCCCTGCAGCTCTTTCCAAGCCTCATGCCTTGATCACCCGATTGGGGCATGGGGCTGGTACCTGCTCCTGACTG